TACATTAGAATTACGAGAAGTAACTTTTGATCGTGATCCATATGAACCTAAAATCAACAAAGTAGAACTTTAAAAAACATTACATAAACCATATTTCAAGTATCAAATAAACATTCCATTTATCATATTTCAAGCCAAAATAACATTACATAAACCATATTTCAAGTATCAAATAAACATTCCATTAATCATATTTCAAGTACCAACAAGGGCAAAAAGACCTAACAAAATAGTTCCAACAAAGGCAAAAACATTTAACAAAGTAGTTCCAACAAGGGCAAAAAGACCTAACAAAATAGTTCCAACAAAGGCAAAAACATTTAACAAAGTAGTTCCAACAAGGGCAAAAAGACTTAACAAATACTTTCAACACTAGAAAATCATCGAACAATCTTCCCATCCTTCAAAACTCCTAAACTGGTACCCGTCATCTCAAGCCACCCTCGTAATATCTCGGGAACATCGGGCAAATGCATCCACATCTCTCTCATGTTCATGGTTCCTCCAAAAATATGATATGCGACAAAGCGTAAAGGATCTGTAGGGCCTAACTGAAGGACCTCTAACTTCTCTAAACACTGAGGAATTGTATACCCTTTAGTCAAACTTTGTAGAGCTTTCTTCATTTCAAATGCTAAATCGTCAGCAGTAACAGAAGTTCCATCAGGTGAAGAAGTAGACGGTGAGGCACTAGGAGCTACAGGAGTTGAGGGTTTAGCCCTTTTGTTGGGGTTACCGGATGGTGTAGCAGTATATGGTGAACCAGCAGAAGGTGAAGCAACAGAAGGTGAAGCTGCAGAAGGTGAAGCAGCAGAAGGTGGTGGCTCATGATGAGAAGTGTCAACACCATCATCATCCATTGCATCAAAAGGGGTGGCGGTGATCTGAAGTGGTGGAACACGACAGGAGGATGCGCCAGCTACCGATGATGATTGGGTTGAGTAACTCCTAAAATTACCAGTAGCACTATTTCCATCAAAAAGACGTGCACAAAGATCTGGAAAAGGCAATGGAATTGTTCTCAAAGAAGCAGCTTTCGGATGCCCCTAAACCCAAATGTAACAAGAAATAGTATAAGAATATTTGGCAACTTCAAACGTAAATGTTGTATATATATATATATATATATATATATATATATATATATATATATATATATATATTGTATATTAATGTATATGTACCTTCTTAAAATCATCCCACTCCTCGGCTGTTAAATTAAAAGTGTTTGTTTGAGAATTGTATATATTACCGGTTTTGTTTTTTAAATATACCCATCCAGTGTATTTGGCTTTCAGATTGTCATATGCGTTTTTCATTTGTTTTTGAGTCAACTCAACCCCAAATTTCTCCTTAAGAACTCTTCCAAGCCTTATCCATGAATCTTTCTGTAAACTCAATCCTTTTCTACCAACACTCTCTACTTCTTCAATACAAGTATCCAATAAGCATTTTAAGTGCTCATTGGTCCATTGTTGTTTTTCTCCCATCTCTAATAACCAACTAACAATAAACAGTGAACAAGTAACATCATTATTTCAAGAAATTTTTTTTATTTTCACGACAAATTTGTAATTTTGTTTGATTTTCAATCACAATAATGTGAAACTTTTTATTCAATTATAAATAACCTCAATTAGAGTGTTTTAATTCAAAGTTTTCTAAAAAACTTTATAAATCAAATAAACTTCACTTTAACGACAAAAAACTTTACTTCTATAAAATAAACAAAACTTATGTCTCTTTTTGATGCTTTCTATCATATACATACAAAATCAACAATCATATACATATACACTATCATATAAATATACACAATCAATAATCATATATATATATATATATATATATATATATATATATATATATATATATACACACACAACTTTGAATTACTGCGTATTTAAGCACAAACACATCACAACAATCTAGTTGAGGCTTTTTATTGCTAATTGAAGCACAAACACATAATCAAATCTAGGTTCAATTGCTAATTGAAGCACAAACACATCACAACAATCTAGGTTCAATTGCTAATTGAAGCACAAACACATAATCAAATCCAATTTCACATTCAAAGATAAATTACTTTCATTACAAATGTTTTTATTTTACACAATTTAGTTGACAACAATCTTTTGAGGCTTTTTATTCTACCTGTTCAATTACTACAACAGATTGTTGTGGAATCTTGATCAATACATCATTTTAAATCTGAATAAGATGAGGCTCAAATAAGTAGTTGATTTATATCATTTTTGGTCTATGTGGTGTTTACACTCATGTTTATGCATCAATTAACATAAATTCTGAACTATAGCTTCAATGCAACACAAAGAAGGGAATAACAGAAAGTATATATGTAGAAGGGAATAACAGAAACGTGTAGCTCACATCAGGAAAAAAGAAAAAAAACGAACCTGTGAGGTCGAAGTCTCCGGTGTAGCTGTGGGGGCGACGGTCTCCGGCCGGTGGCGAGCAGGGTGGTTAACGGCGGCGAGCAGACGATCGAGCAGGGTGGAGTACGATCGATCGAGGGTTGTTGTTCGCCGGATGCTGCAATCGATTATGATGGTCGGAAAATCGGAGGACGCCGGATCGGAGAGGAAGGCGGCGATTGATGGCTTTGATCGGAGAGGAGGGTTGCGACGGTGGTGGTCGTTGCAAGGTGGAGAACGATCGAACGATGGAGGGTTTTTTCTGGGAGGGTTGGACGAGGACGGGAGGTGGAAGCAAAAGAAAAAAAGACGCGTTTTTTTTTTAGGTTAAAGGGCTTGCAGACTTTAGAAGATGCTATCCCATATCTGTGTGGTGAAGACCTCGCGCAGACGTTTTTATGTCTGCGCACTTCAGAAAAACAAACAGACTGCAAACCATTATGTCTGCGCGTGGTCTGCGCCTCGCAGACAGAAGAGGTCACGCAGACCTGCAGAGAAAAAACAAACACCCTCTTGTTCTTTCGCAGTTGTTTGTCTTTTAGAATACTTCTGACTTAAAACTATTGCGCGTATGCTATGCACGCAACACAACACTGGATCCTCATCTTCAAACCACTTCTCATATTACTTTAAGTAATATTACTGAATAAAGATTTGTTTTTTTTTTCAAAATATTTCTTATTATAATAATATTATGAAGGATATTATAAACAATTCAATTATATTTTACATAAATTCAAAACGTTTTGGTAAATTTCATATAAATATTTTTTTATGTTACATTGTCTATAATCAAATATTAATAAATTATAAAATTAATCATTAAAATTATTAAATTTATTGAAGCTAACCAGAAAAACAATCAACTTTATCGACAATTTAACAAAATGAACAAGATGTTCGATAAATTAACAATTTTATTTTATATAAATATTTTTAAAAAATCGTATCATCACAATAATTTTTGTGTTTGATTTGCATATCAAACTGAATAAAAATTTGATACATAACTTATTAGCACATATGAAAAAACTTATTAGCACAATGTAAGTTTTACAAACAATTTTTTCTAAACTCTATTTTAATACCACACAGGCACACATAAAGTAACTCAAACAATCCCAACTGCCCCGTGAAAAGTCCGCCTGTTAAAAAAAAGTTTAGTAAAATTTACCAAAAGTAGCAAATAAATTTGTGGCCAAGTTTTTTCTTATAATAAGACAAAAGTGAACTTCCCCAATTTGGGGCAACGACTTTTTTTCATTGAGTCAAAGGGTAAATTTCGTTTCCAAATTGCACATTACACCCTAAACTTTGGGGAAACTATACCATCAGTACAATTTGAATGTCACTATGAGTCGGTTAACTACAAAAGAATAGTCCCAAGGTCAAAACTTCTTACTTATTTTAGAAAAAATCATTCACAATAAGTTAATTAGCTACAAAAGAATAGTCCCAAGGTCAAAACTTCTTACTTATTTAATTATTTTAGAAAAACTCATTCACAACACATCAATGATTTTTATACCGCTATGTGTTACATATCGAATGTTGGGCCATGAAAACATAAAGAGCAACAAGACCAAAGTTTTTATCAAAATCCATTTTTAAATTGCTAATTGACATATGATAGCATACTCTGAGATATAATTGATATAATTTAAACAAACAAAAACTTGGAGCTAATTGGAAACTACATGAATTATATATAAATCGTTTTGTAAATTTCTAAAAACGTGTGTTACAGTTTTATTATTTAAAAAATATATATGAGACATAACAATTTAGTTGATGTCAGTCAACAAATGGTGTTAGCATTTTCATATTAGATGTATAAATATACAGTCGACCAAAGTTCGAATCATACAGGCTTCAACTTTAGTATCATGCTCTTGAAAAAGAAATTGCACAAGTATGGTATTTAATTATTTATATCCCAAATGTTAGGGACCAATTGTGCATTTTTCACAAAAAAAGAGGTGTTTGTGGCAAATTTCATTGTAATACTACGTGGACAAAAAGTACCCACTCAATGTTGGCTTAAGAAGAACGTGTGGCTTTGGAATGTCTTTGTTCTATAAAACACATATCAAGGGAAACATCAATTATAGCATATTGTAATTCTTTTATGTTAAACTAAATAAAACATTAATTTCTGGATAATTTAAATAAAAAATAATTGATTTAAAAGTTAACTCATTTTTCGTACCTAATTGGAAGTCGACGCGTGGGAATGAAATGCAAGTTGATAGCCTAACGAAGTTGATGCCCCCTCAAAAACTACCAAAGGTATGTGCTTACCCTACTCCACGAATAATTGAAGTCCATTTCATATATCATAAAGATACAATGGCTTCTTAAACACAAATCTTCATGTGGGTGTTTCAAATTTCACTACTTTATGCATTATTATAACACTTTACAATCTCCATGCTTTGTTTCTTGAATTTCACAGGTGGATGTTGAGAATATGGAAGTGAAAAGGTTGGACTCCATGTTTCCAAAGTAGTAATCTTTGACTATTGAGAACTTGAAGTAGAAATTTGAGTTCGACTTTTATTTATGAGATTCACAATGCCAGTTCCTTTAGCTCCATATCCAACTCCTCATGTACCCTTTACACCACCTGCAACTGGTACGATAGCTTTATTTTCATCTTGATTTTTATAACTCACTTGTTTTTATTGATTTTCATGGAGATAAAAATATCAACAAGTTTTAATCTTGCCAAAAAATCCGTTGTTCTTGATGTATATATATATAGTTGACTAGTTCAAGAAAAGCTTTTGTATAAAGATTCTACATTTCTTGTTTGATAAATCGAACACGAGTCAAGTTTTGATCTTGAAAAGTCAAGCTTTGTAAATAAAATTTTCTCAGTTGGGAAACTTTATTTCATATTAATGTATATATGGGTTTTCTTAATTTTTTCAAAACTAGAAAATAATTGTATGGATTTTGTAATTGAAATCAAGTTTGGTTGAATCTGAAAAGTCGAAGATAGTAAAAAAGAGCACACTTTTTTTATGAACAGGTTCTGAAAGCCAACTTGTGTGTTCTGGATGTCGAAATCTTCTGCTTTATCCAATTGGAGCAACTTCGGTTTGTTGTGCTGTTTGCAATTCTGTCACTGCTGTTCCTCTTCCTGGTATGCATAAAAAGTTGGAAGTTTTCTTGTATTTTTTTATAAATGAATTTTTTATTTGGTTAATGTCATATACGAATAACTAACTACTTATTATTTTTACAAAACATTATTTTTTTAAAGGATATTATAAGAAAGTATTCTACTTGAACATCTTCTCCTTCTTCATAAAATACCATTCAAATAAAGTATTCTGAAAGTATTTTTAAAAAACCAATGGTGGTTTTGAACATGTTAAGTAGTTTGTTAGCCACTTAATTTAAACTTTTTTTTTTCTTCAACAAACTTCCCCTAGTATAAGATTATGTCTTCTATGCATTATGACAAATTTACAATATTTGTCACTACTAGGGATATTGCTGAATATGTTTAGCTTCAAGTATATACAATACTTTTTTTTTTGTCCAGGGGCACTGGAATTTATCTCTCCATATTGGTCATGTGATTGGCTTTTATCTTTTTTAAAATTTACACCCAACATTTTTGTTATCTATGTTTGTCTTTTTATAGTCGGTTAATCCCTACATGTACCTAGGTACTGAAATGGCGCAATTGGTTTGCGGAGGTTGCCACACTTTACTCATGTACATTCGTGGGGCCGCAAGTGTACAATGTTCGTGTTGTCACACCATTAATTTGGCATTAGAAGGTACCACTACCCCCCCCCCCCCCCCACCCCCACACACACTTAACAGTCAGTAAAAGAAGTTCTTAAATCCGTTAAAAATTGGTTAACAATATTTCAGGAAATCAAGTAGCACATGTCAATTGTGAGAATTGTAAGATGCTATTGATGTACCCGTATGGTGCACGATCCGTGAAATGTGCGGTTTGCCAGTACATTACATCTATTGGGGTAAGCAAGAATCCTAATTTTTCTATTTCTTAACAATATTTAATACAGCTGAAGTTGCAAACTTATATGAACAATAATGTAGTATGTTGTTACCATTTAAGTTTGCAACCTGCCTTTGTTAATATTGAGGTTGTTGATAGTACAACTTCAATATTAACCAAAAAGTAATGTAAGATTTTCTCATGATCTACTGTTGTCATGAACACAGGCTTCAACAAGCACGATAGAACAGAAACTCGTCACCTAAAACTTTGCTATGACGTTACACCTATAGAGTTTTAAAAATTTCTCGTACGAGAGATTAACGTTATTATTAATAACCGTTGTTTTATTGTTAATGTTGAATAAATTAACTTAAAGCATTTGTATATATATCTTAATGTATATTGATTCCAAACCACAAATAAAATGGTAAGAAGATGGATTGGGTGATTTTGTCTTGTCTTTTCTGAATATTTTTGTGTTTTTATAGTTGAAAACGTCTTGCAACTTAAAAATTTTATATTCGTATTTTTTTTGTCTTCATATTTCTTTTAAATCTTCTACACTGTTCTTAACGATCTTTCTCGAGTTCTCTTTTGTGTCTATCTTTGTATTCAACATAATTATTCATCATATATAATTTATATATATAAAGCTTGAGTCCCTAAAACAAATTTTGATTTTTTCATCAATATAATATTTGGATTTTTAAACAACATCAAAAAGTATAAAAGGTTATCAAATTAAACTCAATTTCTGAGTTTAGTCAATGTTTCAAACTTCAAACTTGAAAGGATTCATGTTTGAAAAATATATGGTTTACATTAAAGTAGAATCCTGTAAAGTAGAAAATGACTATTCAGACAGAAACAGATAAGCATCCAGTGAAGTGTTGAATCGAAGCATCGTGAATCATGGGACCTTTCCTTTTTTAGAATAAAGTTTACTTTTTTCACTTAATGATAAAATGCAAGAAGTAGGAATATTACCCCTCTTGATACAAACGATTTATTATTTAAACAATATGTTTCCTATGTAAACTCACCAAATAATCTGTTTTCCTAATAATAAGAAGATAAACAAAAGTAACAGACCAATCGACAACTATTTTAAGTACTCTAGATGCATGTTTTCTAGGTGTTATGTGAAATTGTTTGCCTCATTATACGTAACATATACGATTAGTATCCACTATTCGCGAATAAACAGATAACCATAGAATAAGTCTTCTATCCTAAAAAAAGTCTGGATAACGAATTTATGATGATGAAAACAACATAAATAATAGCATCTATAATTTGAATATGATTCCGCTAGCCAGGAAAAAAAAGTCTAACCAGTGTCGGTATTTTTTTTTTTAATGTTAGAGTGAAGAACGTTTATTTTCATATGAATAATTTATTGCATTGAACTTGCATAAATACTAATGTTTTAAAAATCAGTTATTTAATAGAACCGGTATGATGACCTGTTTCTTGTTCCACCGTCGAATAAAACCGTTTTCTAGCAATCATTTTCATGTTTTTCTTATTTTCGCATACATACATACACCACCACACACATACACCAAAAGGAAAATAAATTATAATACTAAACAAAATATAAATTTAAATGAATACAAATGCCTCAAAAAGCTTCATAATATTTACATGTGTTTTTATTTAATTTAAAAGATATCTAAAAATATATGAAAAGACTACTAAAGTTTGTTATACAAAATGTTTATTTTCAATGTGTTTTTATTCATTTTAATCGGTTGAACTGAGTTTTTTTTTTTTTTTAAACTAACCGGTTCATTCCAGTCCAAAAATAGATATAAAGTTGGTGCTAGTTAAATCACTCTATTTTTCGGTTCCCGGTCAAATCAGTCTGATCGGTCGGTTCAAACCGGTTTTTAAAACATTGATAAGTACTTAAATGGATCTAACTAGAATATATACATATAGGCAAGCCTACATTAAATACACCTTAATTAACAGCATGTGCGGCTCATACTATGATCGGGAGCTTAATGACGAACGTTCAAACTCAACCGAAACTATGTGAATAGAAATATTGAGAGTTCAAGGTGAAGTTGTCAACAAACGGTAAACTAGAACGAACATGAAGAATGAAGAACCTGGCGTGCTTTTTCACAGACGAAATGAATATCTATCTCAATGATCAATGAGCATTGCCTATTTATGTTAAATTGGATTTGTGGGAACGCAGAGGGTTGGGGAGCCACTCTTGCATCTTGTAGGAAAAGGCCATCTTTGACATTTTATTTTGCTTAAAAAATCTAAAAATATTGCAAAATTTCATAATTTTATACTTTGTATATTTTTTGTATATATAATGGACCCCTGTTAACTTCCATCTTGGATTTGCCAATGAGCATATGTAGGGAAATTTAGGGTTTGTGGTGGAGATCTGGATACCAACTTGGATCGTAATATCACTTTCCGAACTGATATTTCTACCATATGTCTGGGTTACAAGAAATTCAGCCTAGGATAATCTAAGTGGGCACTTACGTTTCTAGGAACAGAAAACGTAAGCCAATATGCTTGAGGATTCTGTGAAAGTATGATGAAAACGAGAGCTTAAGATCGTAACCCTCTTCTGGATAGGAAGAGCTCTTTATATATTAAACATGATTAGGGTTTCATTAGGGTTGGGTCGTCATTAGTTGCTTTGGAAGCAAGTAATGTCAATCCGGATTTAATGAGGATTTAGGGTTACTAAAAACTAACGAGTTTCGTTAGTTTTACCATAATCACCCTCAAGAAGTTGAATTTTCCATTATGTTCCCATATGCCAGGGGCTCTATCCCTTGGACCCCACTAGGGGCGCTGCTCCTTTGGAAACCCCGGACCCGGGGGCGCGGCCCCCCGACCCCTGACTAGTCGTCAAATCGGCTTCTGACTCGATCTTATACATGCATACACTCCGTAAAACCCCGTACATATATTAGAGTACAAATCATGAAGCCCCTTAGCTCACATGTTGGTTTCAGTTACTTAAAATGACATGGTGACTCTAAAATCACCAACAACACAAAACGTAATAACATTGTCATAATATACAAATGGTAGTTTTTGTGACAACCCGTAAATTATTCCGTCGTTGTAACCCGTTCCCGTCAGTAAAACCTGTTTGTCTTTCAATTTTTCCAATAACATTTGGATTAGGTCATTTAATTTAAGACTTTTATATTGACCCCGTGAGTGTTCAAATCCTTTAGAAATGCGTGAAAACATCCCAAATATTTATTTAGAAATTTTCTAGTTTCGACCACGTCGGGTTACGACAACTTAATCGGGTACGACCAAAAGCCCCGTTTAACGTCAGTATCGGGTAGAATTCCACCGAGCCCCAAAATCAAACCCTATTTAAAGTTGAGTGGGCTTCATTTGAAGCTTTTCCACTCTCTCTCTCTACTCTCTCTCTCTCTCTAAAAACTCAATTTTGGATCCAAAAATCACCTATTTCAAGCCCCAAATTGGTATGTAATCCTTCCTAGCTCATAGTATAACACATTTAGCTTTCAAATTCGTGTTTCATTCATGAAATAGGACCAAGAACATGTGTTTACGGCCCTGGAACAGCCCTAGGCTGCAAACACACATAAATGGGGTTTTTGAGCCTCAAAATCCTCCCAAACCACTTTTGGAGCTTAGATATGACTTAGGGGCTTACAAAACTGGACTTAGAACACCAAAACCTTATCATTTGAGGGGTAAACATGAGTTTACGTCCCAAGAACATGCTTAGACCATAAACACCCTTTCATAGGTCGTAAACCCCTTTTAAGGTGTTAAAATGCCCCTTAAACACCTCTTAAGCCTTGGAATAAAGTCTAGAACCATCCAACAATGTGGTAGGGACCTTAAACATGCAAGAAACCACCCCCTAAGGATTTCATGGCCGTAAACCCCCCAAGGAATGGTTCTTGGGCCGTAAACTCCTATAAGATGGTCTAATGATGCCCTAACTTCCTTCCCTGGCTTGTACTTTGGACTAGAAACACTTGTAATTGACTTAGGACCACCAAAACACATTAAGATTGAGTACATAAGAGTTTACGGCCGTAAAATCCTAGTTTACTGCCATAAACTCCTCAAATGATCCTTATGTTGTTCAAATTCCATTCCAATGCCTTAAAACCAAGCCTAGCATTACCCCACAAGAGTTGTAAGACCATTTAGCACCCAAGAACACCCCCACCATGAGTTTACGGCCGTAAACTCATGGGGAGTTGGTCATTGGGATGAAAACTCCATTAGAAGTTTACTCTTGAAGAGCAAACTCCATATTCAAGCCATACACACCCTTAGATGCAACCCGTGTCACTCCTAACACTTGAAATGAAGTGTTTTCGTGTCTTGGAGTGTATATTCTCAATTGATTAGTAGATCAAAGACTAATTAGATACAATTATGTATCTTTTCATATTACATAGGAACCTCACACGCGTTCAAGCCCTGAACTATCATTTAGCATCCTAGCTGACACCTTTCCCGACCGGTGAGTTCATACCCCTACACCTTTTTCTGTGTTTTTCAATGTTTTCAGAGGGGGGGGGGGAATACAAGAAAAAGTACAAGAATATCATGTACTTAAACTTATTATTTCATTTGATATGTTTCATAATTCATATACTTTTAACACTGGAAATCGTATTAACTAACTGTTTGACTTGCAGAGTTAGTTTTCAAACTAATTGCAAACCTTATTATATAGTGTTATATTGTATAGTTTACCAATGATTTTCCACTTCATTTATGTTAAAACCATTAACCTAGAACATTAGAACACGTCATCGGTAACACTCCACAGAGATATGCGAGTGGAGGACCCCCTTTGTAACCAGAATCACAAACATGATTTTTCGCATTATTACTTGTAAATTTGTTAATCTTAATAATTGGAGACACGTCCTTGGAAACATTCCACAGAGATACGCGAGTGGAGGACCGCTCTCATAAACAGAATCTCTTGGAGGGAGAGCGTGACTTGAGTGTATAGATCTATACGGGATTGACAACCCCGCACCTGGCTGCAAGCTACAGTCGAACCGACAGGTTCAAGGGTGACGAAAGTCATAAAATGATGATGGACTACTTATTGCCATATATAGTCTATCGTATGGTTATGGAACTTGCAACTTAGATAACAGAGATTTACTTGTTGGTAGTAATGAAATTAGTAGGCTAATAACTTTAAGAATTAGTTTACTTCCCACATAATAGTTTTATATATGCGTTAAAACTAACATTCATTTCAAGGATAACCAGGCTTTTAGGAAACTTCACACAAACACTTTAAGTATGGTAGATACTTGTACATTACATTCAGAACCGATAACCATCCACAAACTTTTAAGGAAAATAAGGGTTTTTCCTGGGATAACAGAATTCATTTTTAACTAGATCATGTAGTAACCAGATAACAAACTGTTTCCAACCAAACTGTGTAACAAATGGATAAACAAACTTTACTTATAAGAAAATATGGGATTTTCTTGGATAACAACTTTTTCAGAATACTAAAGGAAACTTGTTCATTTTCAGAAAAACAAACCGCTTATAAACTCACCAGCTTTATGCTGATTTTTAAACTGCTTGTATTATCAGGTTCTCCTTAGACAGGTATCCCGCATCCTTTTGCAGAAGTCAGAGTAGATGGAATTCACGTCTTTACTTTTGTTTAAACTTATGTATCTATAAAACATGTATTACTGTGCTTTTCTACTTTCAAACAAATGTAATGATTCTATGTAATGTAATGTTTTGTGTTTACTATGCTTACTATGTATATTGGTTGTAATACTTTACATGACGTCCTCCGCTCCGGAACGTTTTCGCCATCGGTTTCGGGGTGTGACAGTTTTGGTAAGAAGATAGGGAAGATCACAAAGCAAGTTATGTGTTGAAACATGTTTGTGTTAGCCACCCCTCGATATTCGGCTTCAAGTGTCGGCTGAATCGTCTTTAGTACAAAAAACTTCGTGTAAAAGTGAAACCAACCCTCCTCCCTCGCACAGTTCAACCCTTATGTGTATGAATGGGTTGATAATTACTAGTAAAAGCGTATTCACATCATTATTAATGAATTCTATATGATTATATTATATGTGTAAAAAAGTGTATATTATGCACATAAGTTTGGACAACATATGTCAAGTTAGGGAAGTGAATGTGAGATAATGCAAAGTGCTAACAAGACAAAGATACAAGGTCGAGTTCGCAACATGAGGGTTGTAGGGGCCATGTTTTGAGGAGAGTTGTAGGGGCCAAGTTTTGATCACACGGAAGGGTTGCAATTGAGCATATTGGTTTCTTCAAAGGTGTGGCTTATTTCATTAATAAAGAAATAAATTATCTTTGTTCTGAGTAGCCAAAATTCCTAGAAAGTAGTTCGGGCTTGAGATATAATTACAATTTTTGAATGTAATTATCTTAACGAAAAAATACATTATCTTTGCAGGGTTATGGCCTCGTTATCCAAAAAAAAATATAATTACAATTTCTAAGGTATTTCTTAACAATTTATATATATATGACAATTTTTGAATGAAGCAACGACACTATTATATATTTTGACTAGTTGCGAGACCCGTGTAAATACATGGATTGATAAGTTTGATTAAAATACATTGTTTGATATGCATAAAATGATATGTTACACTTTTTATTTTTTATTTGGACGTTAAGAGAAAAAATAAAGAAAAAGAGATAGCAAAACATGCAAATGAGTATTACATGATCTATCCTAATAAATGTAATATTAATTATATATTTTTCAGTAAATACATAATCCTTAGATGTGTTTCACGGTTACAAATTCAAAATAAAAAACATCAAAACTAATAAAACAATTGTATTTTTAAAAAATGGACGATATTTATTCTCATGTATTAATAGACGTTAAAAACATATCATATTTCAAAAAACACACAATGCATTGAAAATATATCATTTATCATTAAAACATATCATTTATGTAAGTTGACATTTTGGTTAAGAATAAAAGTATGTTAACTTCTTTTATTAAAAATCTAAGTGTGTTGTTAATTTGGGTTAAAATTTAGCATAACATCAAAACTTAAAATATAACTTAGAATTATAAATCATCAAATTGGAATAAAATGATAAAAATCAAGAAATATTTCAATCTTAAATTCAGTATAATTATTAAAGTACGATGTTTTAAAAAACCCTGAAAAGATTATGGACAATTGAAAAAAGACATAACTATAGAACGAAAATGCTCCATACATCAAAGAGGAAAACACAGACACATCGAGATTATCGAGATTATTTATCGATATTTCTCCTAAAAAAGCTTTTCTATTTTTTTCATTTAATCACATTTGAAACATTGGTATAACGAAAATACTATCAAATTTTAATATTAGAAAATAGAAGTCTAAACTCTCAAGTCAAAAGTATGTTTTTGAGATTCTAATTATATTTTTGTTAGAAGGGATCAAAAATGGATAATGTTAAATTAAATTAAACCCATGAAATTATGGATGCATAATATTATTTGCAAATATAAAATATATGTGTAAACATTGAATTTACCATTTTGAGTAAGTTTAATGATGCATGCAAGTTTTTTTTTTTTTTTTTCATATGTTAATGCTAAGAACTTACGTTTTTTTTTTTTTTTTTGAAAGAATTAATTTAATAATGGAAGTAAAAAAAAGGCAATCTTTCCTTAATAAATGAAGGTTTTTTTTGTCACGTGTCAATCTTTCATGAGTTTTGATACTTGTCATTTTATGACATTTTTGAAATAAATATTATCCACTTGTCAATTTTTTATTTGTTTCAATTTTTAAAATTAAAGTCATATACTTATATATGTAAAATATTAAATATCATATATATGATATTAAATTGCAATAAATACATTTTTCCTTTCTTATTTTAAAGTTGTACATTAAAAAGTATTTTATGTTTACACTTTAACTTAATGTTTATTTTTTTTTAAATCAACCCGTATAATATACAGGTCTCACACCTAGTGACTAATATAAATTAATTCTATAAACTCATCCCATGACTCAATATTTTTCCTTACTAAATGCCGTAAGTAACTTTATTATCAAAATATAATACTTTTTTGAGTAAATTACACGAATGGTCCCTATGGTTTAGTGTAATTTGTGCATTTGGTCCCTAACTTATTTTTTTAACTCGGAAGGTCCCTATTGTTTGTTTTTGTTACGTGTTTGGTCCCTATCTTATCTAAAAAGATTATTTTAGCATTGATTTTTAATTTATATTAGATAAACACACCCCCAAACCCACCCCCTCACATTACCTTACCTACCCTACCATTTTTTCGTATTTAAATAATAGTTTTTTTTAGGTAAGATAGGGACCAAGCGCGTAACAAAAACAAAAAGTAGGGACCAAATGCGTAACAAAAACAAACAATAGGGACCTTTCGAGTTTAAAAAGTAAGTTAGGGACCAAACGCGCAAATTACCCTAAACCATAGGGACTATTCGTGTAATTTACTCTACTCTTTTAAAAAGACAAAACTGCACAAATGGTTCTTATCGTTTGCTCAAAATTGTCACTTTAATCCAAAAAAATTTGAACTAGTACCACAGGTCCAAAGTTTTCATTTTGTTGCGTCTTTGGTCCAAAGCATTTTAAAAATTCTTCAAATGACGGATTTGCCCCTCTCTATTTGTTTTTTTCTTTTCTTTTTTCCTTTACAATTTTTTATTATTATTTAACTACATAGGGTCCCTTTCTCTCTCTCTCTCTCTCTCTCTCTCTCTCTCTCTCTCTCTAATCATTCAAGAACATATACCATAAAGACATACTCCCCTTCCCGTTTCTTCCTCCTTACAACCCAAACCAACTAATAACCTTCCTCTGTCTTTCTCCAGTAACTATCGTCTTCCAAAATCGATTTTTGTGTTCAAAATATTTGTTGTGAATCATTTTTTGGGAGAATCAATTTCTAGTTTCATCTTCTCCAACCTAATTTTTGGGTTTCATCTTCTTAATTTTTGGGTTTCATCTTCCATCATCGGCAGATAAAGTATCCTTCGTCGTCAAAGGCGTTGTCGAAGGCATCATCGTTGAAGAGAAAGATGTCACTTTTCAGATCCTTCATCGGATTAACTAGTCGGTATGGTAACGGTAGTCCTAGAAAAATCGAAGAAGGTTAGATATAAAGATCGAGGTCGTCGGAGCCACAACGAACCCTAGCTTCGATTGGGGCTCCGTCGTCGCTGCTATGAAGATCCAATTAGGGCTTCGCCTCCGCTTCAGATCCATTTCTCTCACCGTCAATTTGAAATTCCTCACAGTCGTTGCTATGAAGATCCACTGTAAAAACCCTCGTTGCTGTGAAGATCCACAACAAACCCTACTCTGATTCATTCCAAGTGTTATCAACGGAAACATCTTTTTCTCCATCATAATCTTTCTTTCATTCGAACCCAGAAGCTACAAATTGATTTGGTGATGGACTAGACAGTTTCAATGGACATGATAATGCTTCAAATTGTAGCACGAGCAAGAGGAGAGAGAAGCAAATGAACGGTGTTCTTTAAGTACCGATTTTTATTTGTTTTATAGGACTTCTTTTGGTTATAAAGGTTTGAAAATTATGGATTTTTGAGGTTGTAAGCATCGTATTGTTTGTGTTTGTAGTGGTATTAATTCATGGAAGCTTGGTACACACACACACAGAGAGAGAGAGAGAGGGGGGGGGGGTGGGACCCTAAGTAATTAAATAATAAAAAAATAGTAAATGAAAAAAGAAAAGGAAAAAACAAATAGAGAGGGGTAAATCCGTCATTTGAAGAATTTTTAAAGTGCTTTGGACCAAAGACGCAACAAAATGAAAACTTTGGACCTGTGGTGCTAGTCCAAACTTTTTTGGATCAAAGAGACAATTTTGAGCAAACCACAAGGACCATTTGTGCAGTTTTGTCTTTAAAAAATCATTTTTTTAAGGAAATGATGTGTAATTTTTCTAGGCCATGTGAAAAGAAAACCTAAATTATAAGAAAATGACAGGTGGCAAAATGAATGCAATGATGACAAATAGCAAAAAAAAAAAAAAAAAAAAAAAAAAAAAAAAAAAAACCTTTATTTATTAAAGATGATATTAAAGATGATTTTATCATTTCAATCCCTTAAGTTATGTCGAGCATTTTGAGGGAACAATGTTAGTTTTCACTTGCTTATTTAGCCTATTTTACGTACTATTATCGGTTTAATGTACATATTGCTTTTATTTATTTAAAATAAATAAATTAAAGACACCTTGCCTCTCTCTCTCTCTCTCTCTCTCTCTCTCTCTCTCTCTCAAATACACACCCACTCAATGGTCAAAACCCCCTCTCCCGACCATATAACGGTGGAACTCTACTCCCAAAACCCAAATGTCTTATTCACCTCAATAGTCAAAATGTGAGTCCTTTCTACACTTCCACCTCATTGATTTACGGTTAACTTCTTTCATTTTCACTAATCAAATAAACCAAAATCTTGAATTTTACTTGTAGTTATGGTTTAATCTTTAAAACCCACATATTGTGTTGTCGTTGTGTCATGATTTCAAGTCATGCTTCTCCTAAACTCATGCTTGTATTCAATTCTCCTCTTGGTGAGCCCACATTTCCAACATTAAAGAAAGAATGATCAAAAAACAAGCGATTTTCTTTCATCAGGGTGATTATCATTTCAAGTTAAGACGTCTTGTTCTTAGAGCATTCATGTCGTAATCAATCAAACACATGGTTTCTGATATTAAATCCATCACCATTGATGCCCTCCAATCATGGAAAAACAAAATAGATTAATCAAACACTTTTCAAGAAATGAAATAAGTAAGTAAAATATTCTCAAAACAAAGGATTGATAAATGACAATTTGACATCAACCAACACTTAGTTTTCTAACTAAAATTTTCTTTTCACCTCCGGTTTACATTCAATGTTAGGAAACCATGAAGTGGTCAACAGGGATGATCTCAAAAGATGCTATTACATACTCGAAAAAGGGTATGATTGTTGAAAGGTGGTTGAAAATAATTGTTGAAGATGGGAAGGGAGGGAAACGTTGACAAGAGGTAAAGACGTGAGATGGATTTAATTTATTTATTTTAATCAAGTAAAAGCCATATGGACATGAAACTCTCAATAATAGGTGAGAGGGACTAAATAAGCAGGTGAAATCCCTCAAAAGGTTCGAAAATAATTTAAAGGACTGAAATGGTAAAGTCAAAATACATAATAGGGCCATTTCGTCACTTTCCCACATATATATCCTCATCCATGTAAATTGTCTTTTAAAACTCTTTCTTCTAATATGTCCATTTTCAAACACAGAGTTATATTTCTCCATGAAAAATACTTTTAAAGACATAATTTTTTTTAAAAAGTCATGCTATTTCCGTTCCATTCTTTGTTTTTAATGGTACTCTTACATATCAAAACTGCTTGTTACACATGGCATAACAAGTTGAACTGTGTTTGGTAAGCGTGGGACCAGACTATGACCAAAGTCAATAAGTCAAAAGTAGCAATTTTTTCCATGCAAAAAGGTGTGGAAAATGAGCTAGGTATCAATATCCTGTATATCTAAAAGACATGGATACCCTTCTCATCTTCATCATAAAAAAGAATGTAGTTCCTATTTAATGTAAAAAACGCAACCTAACCCTACAAAAAGATTCTATTGAATATGCATGATCAAGAGGCCAAATGTGTCATGTATATATATAAGTACAAAGCTTCTCAAATATCCTAACAATATAAAGTGTGTTTAAAAAAGATAGGAATAACAAAAGAAAATTAACTAATGGTTTTTGCTTATAATTTACAATTTAATTGGGAGCTTACTCATCACCCATGGCTAGTTCAAGTGCATAGTCATCCCTTTCCTGCAACAATTATCCATGAGAAACGTAAGATGCTCCTCAAAAAAACATAAAAGTAACTCCAACTTTACTCTTGCTACCAATATAGTCAATGTACTTTTATGGGGTAAAAGATGTAAATACATTACTATTATGGGGTAAAAGATTTAAGTAAATTGTTCCTATGGGTAAAAAGAGTAACACTTTCGGTATAACTTATTTATAAACTTACAATAGGTCCTCGTGCAAAATATCGTCCAAATTGAAGCCAATATACCTGCAAAAGCCATGGATGAAATAGGTTATATGACAAAAATCTGGATTTTAATGAAAATAAAAGATACAGAAAGTTGTTCACTTGTTCTATCAAAGTGTAATTTACCTCATCCTCATCTTGTGTTTCAACTTCAACATCAGAAGTTGGGAAACCAACACAAAGGAGTGCATAACCCTAAAAAAATGTAAAAAGATATACGAATTTGCATTTAAAGTGATTAGATTGAATCATATGAAGATATAAAGATGTAACATTTGAAATGAAGAGTGGAAGATTGGAAGAGAAGTAGAGAAGCAACATGCCTTAGCTTTCAGTTCTGCTGATATCCCTAATGCTTCAGGCTGTCTAAGTCCTCCTGATTTTATACGAACAGCACAACTAGTACAACAACCTGCAGGAAGATAGCTTTCAGCTTTCAACTTGAAGCTAGTTATCAATGCATTTGAAGCGAATTTTATGAAGCTAGATATCTTATGATCTTATGGATAGATGGCATTACATAAAGGAATGTGAATGATGGAACAATACCGTGCCTGCAAGCAAATGGAAGTGATATGTCCTGTGCTTCAGCTGTGTGTAATATGTATTGATCCTGCAAATTTAACCAATACATTATACATCAGTGATTCGAATCATAAAATTGCATAAATCGATCTGCATAAAACAATCGAAGAACCCTAGATTTCGGTGTAAATATTTGAGAAAAAACTGTTCCATTACAAATTTAAACCCAAATTACTTGACGATTCAAAAAGAATAATATCTCTTCAAATCGATGCATACATACAAGTGTAAGCAAGAAGTATCCATTGACTATCGCGAATTTGATGAATTAGTTGCTAAGATTAGTCCTTTCGGTTATAACTAGCAATTACCTCTGGAACGTAGAATTCGTGAACAACATCTCGTTGTCTGTCGTGAACGGTGACTTTATGTCTCGGAGCAGACGACGCTACAGAAATGCGTTGGGAACGGGGTACTTCGGGTGAAACTTGAAGCTCCGACGACGTCGTACTACGGCGATATTTATTCGCGGCGTAGCTGACTGTATTTCTCGACGGGGAGCATTGCCGGAAGAGTGACGGACTCCGGTGATATGAGGTAGAGAAAATGTTGCAAGGCGGTTTAAGGTCCATCGAATTTTCGTTGGTGGAAGGTCCGATGACTGGTTTGAGTGGTTATCTTTTGTGCTCTTATCTGATTAATCCTGCTCATTATTTTCGTTTGAAACTAAAAAAAAAAAAAAAAAAAAAAAAAAAAAAAAAAAAAAAAAAAGGAAAATCTTCATTTGGAACTTTTTATTTGTCAAGCAATTAAAATAAACATATATTTTTAGTGTTACTCTAAAATAGCAAATTAATATTTATTTATTTATGTGTAAGAGGCATGGATTATATAGAGATGTTAAAAAGTCTTATGAGCCCTCATCCCAAATGGAGATATTTGTTTAAAAAATCGGGGACGGGATTGGAGCGGGGCAATGTTAACCCCGTTTTAGTTTCGGGGGTGGGGCTGGGTAGTCCAGTCCTGAACCTTCAATGGGGACCCTGTTAATATATAATTTATATTAATATATATTAATTATAAAAATATAATAAAAAATAGCAATGATTTTGAACTTCCAAAATTCAATTAAATATCATGGTTTTAAATTTATAGTATAACGTTTTTGAGATGTTATAATATTTTTATTTCAAATATATAAACTAATGCTATAAATAACTATTTTTATCCAAAATAGTTTCTTTTAGCTCAAAAAATAACTTTTTTTAGCCCAAATAACACATTCGTTCGCCCAAAAAAAAGGCAACCCAAACAGGGGCGGGGCGGGGCTGAGGAGGCTAGAGATTTCGAGGACGGAGGCGGAGGCGGGGGAACAAGAAAATTTTGGGGGTGGGGGCGAGGATGCAATCTCAGCCCCGTTTGTCCCTGTTGACATCCCTAGTATTATATGGGTTCATTTAAAAAAATTAAATTTCTAAATATTTAAGAAATTTGAATTTATAAGAAAATTTAGAAAAATATAGAATTATTAAAATTAAAATGTTTTTTCTCTTTTAAATTTAAACAAATAATTTAGATAAATAAATAAAGGAAACTAATAGGCTTTAATTTACAAATTTTAAAAATTAAAAGAAAGTCAATTAATAAAATTAAAATGATTTTTTTATTATATGCAATTAATACATGTAATTGAATACTATGTGAAATTTAATAAAAATGAAATCACCACAAAATACTATATGGAAAAATTTTAATTGAATATATCCACAAAATGATATATGATCAAATCAATGAAAATGCAACATATAATAAAAAATTCATTTACTAGAGTAGTTTTTTGTGATCTAATAAAAAAAAAGTTTTTTTTAACTATGCTAAATGAGAGTGTATTTTCATTTCTCTATGGAGTCAAGTTGGCTCTGTGGAATGCCATGGAATCCTAGGTTTTAAATATTGTTGTAAACTACCGTGCGATAAAGGAAATATGGGAGCATTGTGTTCATCCTTCTTGGTGAAAGAATCATTATCACATGCATACACGATATTTACCTCTTACTTTGTATAATAAAATTTAGGAGAATCGGACCTTAGAGAGTACTACATTGTGCATTCCACAAAGTCATTGTTAATTACCAAACATTTATTAAATTAACATAAAATATGAAATGTTAAACATGCGCATGTTGTTGGGTTATGATGATTCACACATACAATTAGCAACGAAAGCAATATTTTTTTATCATCATAACTTGCCAATGATCTTGTTGTAGTGAATGTGGAGCAACAAAAACAATACGTAACATATGTATCGAATGTACCTTTCAATATGAAGTGGTTGAGCCAATTTTATCCCTCTTGGATGATTAAGATCCAAACTAGAATCTCTCTAATGAAGTCACTATTAGGAAAATATAACCCAAAATTGTAGGAAAGAACAAAAGTATAAAGTTCTTGACCGAAGCATGTGTTTAACACAGTTTCCTTAAAACAAATTCACCCTATATGGGTGTTTGTTTTCCAGGATACAATAGTTGTAAGCAATTCTTCTAGATTGTCTGAACCCTCACTTGGCCCGGATTATACCTTGGTTGCAGCAAGAGAGAAAAGATGAAGTAGAAGAGCAAGAGAGGAAGAGATTGATTTCGTTCGGTCGACTCTTGGCTTGGTTGTAACTGGAGTAAACATGTTTGAAAAAAATGATCCTTTTCTACTTCGGAGTAAACATGTTTGAAAAAAATGATCCTTTTCTACTTCGGTCGACTCTTGGCTTGGTTGTAACCAAACATGATTTATAGACTCCATCGTGTAAAGTTCTTCGTCGTCCATGAATTTGATAACCTCATACATCATTGTAAATTCCACACCAAATAAATGGAAGGTGAAGAAAAATAGATAGAGTTTGAGAACAATTGAGAATAGGATGAAAACATTTGAAAAGTTTACCTTTTCTACTTCAGCCGGCTGTTTGAGTGGATCAAATTAGACGACTGTTTGAGTAGATCAAGTTAAACATGCTGATATCCAACATCATTGAAATCAACCACCACTTGAAGCTCTTATTCCAATTTATATTGGTGACTTTCATAGTTAATATACACATCAGTGATGATTTTGGGTGGTACTACGTAGATTTGATGGTGTATATTTTGAGTTTTTGGGATACAAACATGGGAGGAGACACTTATACGACTGCTTCGATGTTTGGAGAAGTTATTTGAAGGTTACATATTGGCTAAACATATAAAAAATAGTGAATTATAGCAAATAAGGTTGAGTTTCGGCTTGGTCGACTGGTCGAGAAAAGACATGACAGTTAAAGGCCTCAATGTGTTCATATAATGATATAATTTGTGGTAATATGGTAATATAATTTGGAGTCATGAAACCAGCAATCTAGAATACGAGTTTTTTTTTTTTAATTTTTTAAATACATACCATTTTTTTTATGAATGACCAACTCACACACCTTCTAACCATACTCCTAAATTTACATATATGGTAACAAGACATGAAACCTCAATATCTTAGAAATAGACATTTTTCAACTTGATACCGTTAGACCATAAACCTTTTTTTTAACAACTTTAACTTACTATAACAATATTTATGTTAGCAAGAAATATCCATAGGTATATTTGTTTCCTCTAATATTCATAGGTTACCCTTTATACTTATTAATGTTTTTATAAACATATCTTATAACTTCTTTTTCAATGACTTAATAAATTATACCATTAAACTTTGGAAAAATGTCATACTAATCCAACAAACTTGTCATGTTTGTTTTAAAAGGTCATTCATGTTTTTTTTTTTTACTTTCTAATGGGCATGAACTTTGTTTTTACCTATTGTTTTGAACCCTTAACCCATTATAGCGGGTTGTAATGCCACCTCAACACAAAATTAATACACTTGGATTGTACATGTAAGATAGTCAAGATGAAACTTCCAAGAAAAGTCAAACCATTAATTTTCTTTACCTATAAGTCAAAATTAAAACCAAAGATAAGGCGTTCTCATCATCTTCTCAACATCATCGATATCTATATCAAAACCTTCACAAAAACCACGAATAAAACACTTGTACGTGAACCTATCTAGTTTAATCCATTCATTAAATTTTAAAAGAATGTGTTTAGCTTCCTTAACAAGTTTACACCCACATAAAGTCTCAACCACTCTCTCCATAGTCCTAGATTATACCTGTAACCAAACGGATATGCCTGATTTCATTGGTCAAATCCCATAAAAGGTCAATGTTTCTTGATTTTCTGACAACATCGAGCATTTTTTTATTGTGGCGGGAGTGTGATTGAAGGTTTGGGTTTGGGGGAATTTGTGAAACTTGTAGACGGGTTTCCAGGAGTAGTGGAATTTGTTGCTGGTGTTAGTGTGTAACACCCGCAGATTCGGGCTAGTCAATTTAGAGATGATAAACGTAAAAAAAATGAATTTTTGATAGAGGATTATTTAGAATAAATAATATTAACTAAGTTTTATTATATGTCACAAGGTTTCTGTACATATAAAGAACGTTGAAATTTGAATTATAACGAAGAAGTTATGACCTGTCGAAGTTTTGTGATAGAATCGGCACGACATCGGGAATCGTAAAAAGTGAGTTTACGGTAAAGTACTTTTTGGCCTTAGTGACCTAAACTAAATTTGTGAGTATGTCTCTACCTACGTGTGGATATAAAGAACGTCAAAAATGGAGCTCGTATGCAAAAGTTATGATTTTCCAAAGATGTAGTTGTCTGAGGGAATGACATGTGGCAGAAACCCTAGCTGCCTCAAGTACACAGCGTGAAACTAGTCAAAGATACTAATCGAGGCTATAAAAAATGTGATAAGACTACGGGATGACTCATGGAAGTTTACGACGTGAACTTAGGTATTTCACGATGTGGAAATCACATCCGGACACCTTTCGAAGCTAGAACGCAGATGGCAAGCCTACCCAATGATTCAGCCATGGGCCACGACGTGAACATTAAGTCCATGAGGTTAACTTGCCCATAACACCCTATAAATAGCAAGTTCGACCTTTTCATTCCTTACATCAAACCTTTTTTCCTCTCTCTCTCTCTCTCTCATTTATTGAAGGCGTTCTGCGTTCCGAGCCCGACGATCACGAACCGCTGATCATTTCTAGTTAGATTCTATCAAATCACGCTGTTAATGTGAGTGCATAGTTACTTTCATCTTACACATAGATATGAAATATTTATTATAAATTACGTGTTATGTGTGCATATTATTTATGTTCCTGATATATATATGTTAGATAAACAATTTATACATGTTTTAAATGATTTAAACTGTATATGTATTTTATATCTACAAATATGTTGGATAGAACATGGGTAGATAAATGATGATATATGTAACACCCCGAGAGTCAGGTATTATTCTTTCACCCTTGTTCTTTGTGTTTGGCCATGTTTGGCCCTTGAGTGAATTTTGTGAAGCAAGTGAGTACGCTGGGCGTACCATAGGGGTAAGTTGCGCGTACTCAAGCGCTTAAAAATGACGCGTCTTCGCCTAGGTACATTGGGCATACCAAGGGTTACGCCGGGCGTACCCGGACCAGGTGCAAAACCCTAATGTTGTCTTGTGCACTATTTAAAGGATGCTAAGGCTCATTTCTCAGCCTCCATATCAGTGAGTAAAACCCTAAGAGAGAGCCTTCCATCGTCCTTAGTGAGTGTGTGTGTTCTTGGAGCTAATAGTTCCT